GGCCGAGTGATCGCAAGTGCGACTACCGGGCAAGGGGTCTCGGGTTCGATTCCCGCGTCGGGCAAAGTACTACTGGTTTTTAAAAAAAAGTCTCAGTAGTTGCACGGAGTCTGGAAATGTGCCCGGTATATGGCAATAGGCTCACCACCATTACATGGGACTCATAACATAAATAGTGAAAAGTGGGTTTTACTTCTGTATGCGCCTCTGCCTACCCCTTTGGGGATAAAAGGCGTGATGTTAATGTTATGTTATGTTTACAAAATAAGAAAGTAAATACATAGACGTACCACCAAACAGCCAACAGCAATCAACTGGGATTGTTATCTTAGTTAAAACAATGTTCACATCAACAGCCAGCCCACTGCTGAATGAAGCTTCTTTTCAAATGGAGGTTTGAGCATTAAATTATATCCAAATAATGTAGCCTACTGTACACTAGAATTGTGGGTACGAGAATTGAACCAGCAATATTTGTGCAGCAGTCGATTACCTGGCCACTGCGCTTTAACTGTGCATCCGATCAATCTAGCCGTCGACCAATGCGATACAGAGATTTTAATGTAATAGCAACATTATTTCTCAAAGAAAAATCTTGTGTATTGGCCAATTTAAACCAGAATAACACAGAAACCAAATTCAAATTGAACCAGACAATATATCTCGCACAGTATTGTAGTGTACGGCCAGCCTCTCCCCCACTATTGCCTATAGACGGCGGCAGTAATTAATCACCCTGCTAATCCCGCGAGTGGCTTTGTCTTCGGCCTCAAAAATGTTGGCTACACTAACAAGCTACGTGGAAGATATATTGGGAACTTATTCCCTTTACGGAAATTATGTACCAAGGTGAAGTATGTTGGTTGTAACTAAGACACATTTTCCTTTGCGCATTTTCGTTCAGAGCTTACGCTTAATATTATTACGTTGATATTTATTAATGGTTTATTCATGTTTGTTAGTGAATTTCTTTTGTATACTTAGATGAATGTATGTAAGAGTAACTTGGAGTTACATTCTTTTTATTAATCAACTTTTTGTTAATCAGGCATAACAGCAAGATGCGCCGTGCTTGCTGTTACGTCTGCGATGGGCGAGGAAAACAATGTTTGAACGTCGTTTGTAACAGTTGGTGCGACTAGCGGCCGTCATTCAAATCGCTCAACTATTTTTCCCGCTCATTGCACACACAAGACGCACCGCGCTAGCATGGATTACGCCTTATGGTCCTTTGGTAATCAACGACATGAATGGCAAGGTAGACTGATGACACCAATAAACTAGAAAGAGGTGAATGTCAATTACAAAACATGTAAAAATTGAAAGATCAAAGACTCAATAAGCACCTTGTCCATTACGACATTCGACCATAAAACCTCATTTTCTTAAAATATTCCACATCTCAAACTTCATTTTTCACTCTCTGAGTTGAGCACTGAAATCTTACCCCCACATTGTTGTAACACAAAGGTCACTGTGGCTTGGACCAATGACAAATCGTCGTATAAATCAGATGACGTGGCACCTGCACTTTGCCCCAGTTTGCCCGACTTGCTTGCCTTGCCTGGTTTGCCCTGTCTTGCCCTGTCTTGCCCTGCCTGTATAACCTCGCTTGTCCCACATGTTGAATAAACACTGCGTTTGTCGACTTGCATTTGTCTATGCGATAACTGTTTGTAATATTTATTGTGTGTTGTTTATCTTTGTAGCATACATGTATTTTTATGCGGATTCGTGTGCCTCTTAATTTTCCTGTTAAGTATATTATTACTGTCTTCTTACATCATATATCAATGATTAAATTGAATGTTCATTAACTCGTCGAGTACCGTCATTATAGACACAATTATAGAACAATAGGTTGCGGTCACCGGTGACCGCGCGGTGTTTGACAGTTTCAACCTTGGACTGCAAATATTAATTACCTATTTATAGAATTCCTTTTCGTAGCCTGTTATTTTTTATGTAGAAATGGGTGTATATCTTCCAAAATATCAAGTTGTTCAGTTCCAAAATTAATGTTTATTAATAAATTTAATCATCACTATACAATACCAATAATCACATTCACCAAAGAACAGAAGCTTCAATTAATCTTTTTATCATCAGTAATTTTGTCCACAATATTCACACATTCACAGATCTCCAATTTCAATTCGAAAGTCAACAATCAAGTATGGCGCGGGACAAAAGAAGTTCCATACCTATCAAATGAATTTAATTTTATTAATTTTTAACGTACGATTCCGAGCTAGCGAATATTGGACGCCATTTTTATAAAATCTCGACGATGCAGTTGTTTTATCGCTGTGAACGACATATTCAATATGGTGGATGACAGTTGGTGTTGTCGATGATAAGCGATTTTTTTCGAGAGTTTTTGGTTTTTGCTTCGGGTTTACTTGGTAATAGTGGCAATTTATTAAAGTCGTGATGGTTCAGCAGTTAAAGCGCACGCTTTTCATACAAAAGCATGTGGATTCGAATCCTGGTCATGTGACTTTTTCTGAGTTGTATGTACCTGCTAAGATTATTTAGACACCACTTATATACGGTATAGGAAAACATCGTGAGAAAACTTACAGGAGTTATAAAGTCGATTTATTATTTAATTAAAATAATATAACGTAATATATATAAACCTAACCTAACCCAGTGTATTCTCTAATAAATTATACTGAAATATTAACAAACGTAAACATACCTACAACTAGTAAAGTTACATTATAGCACACTGACCACTATAGTGATGTCCCTCAGAAACGAGCGAATGATTTATCGTCGCTCACAAAATCATCAATATGAGAATGATAAATGTATAAAATTTCACAACCCATAAATTATTATTTTATCAATTTTAATCAGTTTCCGTAATCTATGAAAAGTATAATAATATTGTAAATTTTAAATGACTATTAAAAAAACAACATCTCATGTCACAATATCCTTAGAGCTAAATTTATAGAGTACTACGTGATTAGGTAGTCCTAATCTAATAATCTAATAATGATAATAAAAATCATTCAAAACATATCGAGTTACGGTAAACGCCCGCGCCGCCGTAGTTTCCGTCGCTACGCGCCGATCACATCAATTCGCGCGCTCACTATGTTGTCACACGACGCACGGCGTGTAGTAACGCGATGCGCGGTGATGTGGCGGTGAGCGGGAACGTGGAGTGTAAATGTCTGTAAGAAATCAGTTTAAAATGGGTAACATAAAGTGTGTATCGGAACTGACACAAGTGCGTGCAGTATTGCTTGAGAGGAAATACTTTGAAACAGATTGAAAAACATTAAAATACACCATAGGCGTAGGCCTCACTGACCACATCAATTTGCGTTATCACTGTGTTGTTACTACACGACATACGGAGTGTGGCGGCGTGTGTCGCAAAGTAAGAGGCACACGTCTCGAATTAATTTCTGTAAGCCGGGAGAAGGATTGTCACAGAAAGAAATTATTAAAACAAAGATATCTTTGTTATTATACACATATGTGTATGAAGAAATACTAAGAATATAATTGTGGGAGAGTCATGCTTCGTCACAAATGGGCCGACTCGACCGGAGTGATACCACAGCCTCACAGAAAACTGACGTTGAACAACGCTTGCGTTGTGTTTCGTCGTGTTAGTGAGGTTACCGGAAGGCCAATTACCCCCCTCCATAGTCCCCGTCTCCCGAATCTCCGAATCCTCCACAATCCTCAAATTCCCAATTCCCAAGCGGTCCCAAGCGGTAGAGCGGTGGAGCGGTGGAGCGGTGGAGCGGTGGAGCGGTGGAGCGGTGGAGCGGTGGAGCGGTGGAGCGGTG